GGACTACTTTGTCGATCATCTTGGTACTTTTCTGGACCTTGAACGTGGTAGTTACCTTGCTGTCTATGGGAGGGACAGAGAGCCCTCAGATTTCATCATAAATATCTTAAATTGTGTTCCGAATATAAACGAAGTTCTTACGGGTTTGGAACAACATGAGGGTGAGTAATTAATGACAGAATTTTCATTTTTGGGTGAACTATCCCTTTAACCCGCCGGCGTTAGGACCTTCCAGAAGCGTCGAGCTGTATGTGTGGATTGGGTTGCATCCTGCTCGCTGTTTCGCTACAATGTCAGCAGCACGCCTGATTTCTCTCATCGCTTGCTGCATACCGTTTTTCCACTCTGGAAATGCTCAGCTGGGAGAGTCTAGATTACATGTTAGACCCTATGAAGTCCTGCTGAGGCAAAATCTGGGTAAGAATTTAATTTACACACGCGACCGAACCTGTGTCAGGCCTATTACATCCACAAAGGGTGAACCTGACCACATGACAGCACAGTTTAGCATTGATTCACTTTTATGTGCTGTCGTTTGTAAATGCTAAATTGGCCTCTCAGTTAAAATATGGTCGTAATGCACTGCATGAGTGGATTTATTTGAATTGTTTGTTCATTTTATCTCCTGCAGTTCTTCTAATAAGTGTTCTGTCCACACTGCTGGTGGTCATGATTGGAATGGCAGTGTGTGTCTACAAACCTCTTCGACGCAGGTGACAAGCCCTCAGGATGAGAGACGCCGGGAACTGAACGCTACTATGGAGAAGGCTTGAATTTGAATATTAATGAGCCGAGCCAAGCCATTGGACGAGAACAACGCAACGTCAGCGCGAATTATTTAATAGTCGGGATCCAACCCTTCGCTATTGGAAGCTTGCGAATCAACGTCAGTGTGACCTAATTAATATTGATGAAACCATTGGCGTCTTCCCTGCAACGCTTTAATTAAATCGAGTAATGATCTCCAGATTAAACGACATTGTAATCAAGTCCAGATCTCCCCAAACCTTATAAGTGTTTAAAACTGAACACTTATTTCAAACACATGCGTACTAAATTAGGATGTGTTTTTTTATAGTTTGTAAGCTGCTAAAATGTTTAGTCTGAATTTATACGTATTTTTTTTTTTTATTTAATATTATTTTCATTTATTTATTGTAAGATGTTTATTTTTGAATGTCAGACCTCTTGAATACGGCTACTGAATCGATTAAATTAAAGTCGATGTCTGAATCAGTATGAATGTGCTTGTGTTCAAAATAAATAACTGAATGGAACAGTGCTAAATCATTTTTTTTATGTTTTACTATACTTCTATAGGCCTAAAGGTAATTGCACTCAGAAAACTGGCACCCTTTCAAAATGTAAAGTACTAATATATATGGTAGCCTACTAATATTAGGGGTAAATAAGATACAAGTAACAGCTTTGTATCTTTTTTCCCCTGAGAGTGTAAGCTACCATTAAAAGTAATATATGATTATAGTTGGTATAGTAGTAGCATAGTACTTTTATAATATTATCATGAATAATTAGCATATTTACACTTCCATCACATTTGCTCCAAACTTCAGTATTTCTGTTGTCTGCCTAAGTGTGCTTTCTTCAATCCCATCAGTCACGGAGTGAATGTCTTTTTCTCATTAGAGGAGAGAAACAACTCATCCTTCTAATCCAGTCACATGCAATAAGACCAGCATCTGCTGAGCAGGTTATCTCTCCCTCACACAGGATAAATAGAGGACAAATGGATACTTATATATATATATATACACAGTATATATTTTCACAATGATTTTATCACATTTTTAGCAGTTGGCCCACAAGTGAAACACCTGCTGAGCTGAAGTCACGGAAATGAGCACTTGAGCTGATTAAGTCAGGCAACCTAAATGAGTGAAGAACTATTTCCTGAAAAAGTCATTAAAAGCTTTTAAAGCCAAAGATGAACAAGCTGTAGCATTCTGTATTTTGCTTCAGGTAGGCTAACACAGGTTTTACTGTTTACTGCACTTTGTTATTCTTAGTTATAGTGGCTAATGAATCAAAAGACTTGCACATTCACAGAAAATATCTTACTTCAGCGTTGCGAAAATAGTGGATATTCATGTATGTAAAAACGACAGATATGAGTTTGATTTGTAATCAGCCTTAATGTAAAGTTTGATGCATTTGACAGGCCATAAAAAGTCAGCTTCTTCGAAACGGTTATTTCCTTCACTTCCACATGTGATCTCACTAAAATCATGATTTTATTCCCACAGACGGCACACTGCCTCAAACCACTGCTGACATACAGCTTTCCTCTGCCAGCACATGGCACTCGAAGGTCTGCTGAGAAGGGAGTGCAGATGAGGTGCCATGACAAGCGCTCACATCTAACACAGGGGCCTATTAAGAAATGTCACATTACACGAGATTTCTCAATGGGAAAGTGTATCTTTGGATGAATAGACAACAACCACATCTGTATGAGATGTGAGTGTATGAGGCCAGTAAATTATCCCCTTCGTGCCACATCCTCTAATACACGCTTTTTACAATAATATTACTATATTTGGTGTCATCTTGGACATTGGATTATGTCAGAATTTTGGTGTCCACATATTGAAATCACACTTGCAAATACAACTTACAATTATAATTTTCAATTCCGTTTGAATACAGTCCAGAAAATACTTCCATAGGATAATGTTTTTGGAAAAGAGACACTACAAAAAGCATTTAAGAAATAATAATTAAAAAAAGAAGAAAGACACAGATAGGTAATAGGTATGCATTAGAACAGTGCCATCTGTTGGTTTGTTTAATTAAATTCATGAGGCACAAGACTTTATAAATTATCAGACCCTTTAGGTAATGTGACTAACTAATAGAATTAAAATCTTAAAGTGAATAAATGATTAAGAACTGCATGAATCTTAAGATTAAAAAAAAAGTATGAATAAAAATATAAAAAAGCAATTTCATGTTTTTGATGGCGATATATTCGTAATTTTGAAGTTTCAGATATTGTGCCACGAACAACCACTTTTAAAATTTAAAGTAAAAATAAATGTTTATAACTGACCACCTTGACTGATTTTATACCTTTTTTATTTGATTTGCTGTTGCTATGCAACTGTCACACAGTTAATAAAGCGCCAAAAAGTCAATAAAGTGCTTTTATTAAAGTAAAAACATTTTTTGTGTGTGTGTCAAATATACATCACAGTTTACAAATGCCTTCAGGATTTCTTCAACATGCTTAAAGAGGATACTTTCTCTTGCATTTTGCAGCATGACAATTCACCGAGAATCAAACCAACATTAACCCCGATCCGGTAGAGACCATTAAACATTTTGGCAATTAGTTCGAGTTAAGACTTCTACCCAAATACCAAAAGTTAAATTAGGTTTTAAATAAAGAATGAAATGGAATTCTGTGTCTGTGGATAACCGTAGCCAGAACATCGGATTTATTCTACTCTGTTATTTAAATGCAGCATAAGAATAAATACAGGAAACTAAAATCAATGTCCTGTTAATATAAAACATCCCTATTATAAACGCGAGACTGTGACTGCCACTATCCTCAGATCCTGGTTCGCTACAGGAAGAGGAAAGCAATATAAATGTCCATTTATGACATATGAGATGACAGAAGATATGGTTAAAATCGGTTCAAGCTTCATACAGAAAGTAGTGAGATACTGCAAGCTGCAAGTCAATACTCAGATGTCTTTTGAGCCTCATAAGGCTTTAAAAACACTTACAGAAAGAAGTCGACAAGACATCAACAAAAAAAAATAAAATAAAAAAAAACCATTGACAAAATAAATAGCACTGTCAGCTACACATGAGGCACAAGACTTTATAAATTATCAGACCCTTTAGGTAATGTGACTAACTAATAGAATTAAAATCTTAAAGTGAATAAATGATTAAGAACTGCATGAATCTTAAGATTAAAAAAAAAGTATGAATAAAAATATAAAAAAGCAATTTCATGTTTTTGATGGCGATATATTCGTAATTTTGAAGTTTCAGATATTGTGCCACGAACAACCACTTTTAAAATTTAAAGTAAAAATAAATGTTTATAACTGACCACCTTGACTGATTTTATACCTTTTTTATTTGATTTGCTGTTGCTATGCAACTGTCACACAGTTAATAAAGCGCCAAAAAGTCAATAAAGTGCTTTTATTAAAGTAAAAACATTTTTTGTGTGTGTGTCAAATATACATCACAGTTTACAAATGCCTTCAGGATTTCTTCAACATGCTTAAAGAGGATACTTTCTCTTGCATTTTGCAGCATGACAATTCACCGAGAATCAAACCAACATTAACCCCGATCCGGTAGAGACCATTAAACATTTTGGCAATTAGTTCGAGTTAAGACTTCTACCCAAATACCAAAAGTTAAATTAGGTTTTAAATAAAGAATGAAATGGAATTCTGTGTCTGTGGATAACCGTAGCCAGAACATCGGATTTATTCTACTCTGTTATTTAAATGCAGCATAAGAATAAATACAGGAAACTAAAATCAATGTCCTGTTAATATAAAACATCCCTATTATAAACGCGAGACTGTGACTGCCACTATCCTCAGATCCTGGTTCGCTACAGGAAGAGGAAAGCAATATAAATGTCCATTTATGACATATAATGAGATGACAGAAGATATGGTTAAAATCGGTTCAAGCTTCATACAGAAAGTAGTGAGATACTGCAAGCTGCAATTCAATACTCAGATGTCTTTTGAGCCTCACAAGGCTTTAAAAACACTTACAGAAAGAAGTCGACAAGACATCAACAAAAAAAAACCAAAAAAAAAACCATTGACAAAATAAATAGCACTGTCAGCTACAACAGGAAGGAACAGCGTGAGATTCCCTAAAGATTCCCAAACAGAGCAGGGCAGGTTCTTCCACATTTACCACATCAGAACCTCATTCAGCAAACAATGCTGTCCAACCACACATTCCCACAGACAAAAACAGCTGGGTTTCTTGTCACACATTGTCTCACACCTAGTCCTTTAGTGTAGCATGAGGTTTGGTTGGTGCCAGAAAAGTGACCCAGTACTGCCACATTCATTCTTTGCATTACAACATACTCATGGCGATCTAAGCGGTTTTATTGTATCATTTTACAAATTAGGCAGACTAAAAGCTTGAGGCGTATCAGCTTACATCGGACAGGCCTTTTCAGAAATATCCCGGTCTGTATGAGTGCCTCTCACTTCGACGAGGCACGGCGGTGTGATTTATTGCCTTTACAGTAGAGATGCTTCAGTCAGAAGTTGTCTAATGACAAAAGCACACGAAAAGGCTGAAAATGGTACTCTCCTACTGCTTTGTGTAAAACATTAATTTCTTTCACTTTCCTTGGCTGCGTATAAAATGGTTTTAAAGGAACCGACAACTGGTGAGTATCAGTTTAACCCTGAGATATAACGTTAACGCTAACGTTAATGCAAAACAACCTTCCTTTGCGTCAAAACAAGCAATACAGCTTGATCTAGTCATAGGACGTACAAACTCATGGACGTCACAACCTTTCTACCATGTAATCTTAAAAAAGCAGCACTGGATTTCCTGTCAAATACATGCATGATCACTTCTTTGAAGGAGGAAAAGGAAGTGGGAAAATGCAGTCAAATGCTCACGAAACAAAATGTTTGCCTATGGTTTAAGGATAAAGCAGCAGAAATGTTCGGATGTTGGCTGCAAACCCAAGATGTAAATATGTGTAGTCAGTCGTATGTCAGTGGCTGGCAACAGAGAACTGCTGAATCTGAAGAAGGGTGTAAATAAAAAGGTTTAATGGTTATGGCAATAACAGGAACTCCCTTTTTCTTTCCTTCCCTCATCTTACTAGGTCACTTCTCTGTTAAGGAGAGTTGTAAAATCCTCTGTAATTCCTCTTCTTCCTCCTTCCTTCTCCTTTCCTCCTCCTCCTGTGCCCGGGACGAGAGCTCCATAGCCAATCGCAGCTCAGAGTCGGGGCTGGAGGTGGAGCCAGGGCTTGAGGGTGTGGTGTCACTAAGGTCTACTAAAACTCCTTCAGACCCAGACCTGAGGTATTGTGACAGAAAGAGACGGTTTAAGAAAATGCACCCTACCCATACTTTTCTTCTGCTCAAAAGTTTGTGAAATGTTTTTGAAAGACGTTTCATATGCATTAATTCGATCAAAAATACAAATGCAAATAAAAGTAAAAAGTATTCAAATGTAAAAATCGTGTTTTTTGTTTTAAAACGTCATTTGTTCCTGTGATGCCAAAGCGAATCTTTCTGCTATTATTCAATTTTTTAGTGTCACATGATCTTTCAAAATCAATTTTTCTACTAATCTAATATTCAGATTTGGTGCTCAAGAAACATTTCTTATTTCCATCAATACTGAAAACAGTTTGTTTTCAGGATTCTTTGATGAATAGAAAGTTTAAAAGAGCATTTTTTAAATAGAAATGTTTTGTAACATTATAAATGTCTTTATTTTCTACATCAATTTAATGCACTCTAGGCTTGCCGCGATAGACGGTGTTGACGGTGATACCGTTGTTAAGCCGCAACACCGGTTATGTCACTTGCCCACTCCATTAGGCTTGCCGCGATAGACGGTGTTGACGGTGATACCGCTGTTAAGCCGCAACACCGGTTACGTTACTTGCCCACCGCGGCACCGACCCCCACCGTCGTTTTGATTTTTTTATAGTAACAAAAATCATTTAGTTCAGTGAAAGAACAGACACTACAATTAAAAACTGAACGCGGCTGCTCAATGCAGCGTGCCTCAGATTTCACTTATCCAGTGAGGAGAGTGAGTCAAGCTAACTGACAAGAAGAGTGAGGTGAGACAGACAAGACGATGGCGGATGA